ACCAGGCTGGTCTTACACTCACAGCGCTCTACCTACCTCTACCTCTTGAGTGCTGGGATTAAAGGCATGCACCACCACACCCGGCTTTGATTTATTTGTTTTATGGGGCTTTTGGCCACTCTAACATTCCCCCTTCTGAAGAGGTGACCCTAAAATGTTTTAAGGATTACATAAAAGCTCCCAAATATTTTTGACATTTTTGGCCTTTGGAACAGAGTATGTTGCTAAGAGGCCCAAGGACATTGTGAGTTTTTTCCAAGAAACTGGCTACTTTTCTCTGGGATCTTTTTACCCTAACTGCCTAACCAATTCCTACCTCCTATTCTTATCACACCATCCTCTGAAGGGGTTACCCAAATTGCCAATAGAGAATTGGGACACAGGCCACTCTGGCTTCTTCCATGCTGAACAGGGATGCAGGGTGAGTCAAATGGGGTACCCATTCAGTGGGTCTATCTAAAAGACTCAATTGCATAACTCTTATCTCTGGGGGTGGGGTGGGGGGAGAAAGTCCTTGACTGGTGAATAGATGTGAAGGAGAAGTAAAGGCAAGATTAATTAGCATTATAAGTTCTAGATAGGGAGCTAGAAAAAAGTCAGAACAGGGCAATTTTCAAATGTTCATGTAACAATCCATTGGAATTTCTTGACAAGGGCTTCCAAAAGTATCCCTCTATTGGGTTCTCCTCATTTTTCTTTTGTCTGCCAAGGTTGGACTCGAGAATGATTGATTCAGGATTTGCTTTCAGGTATTTTGATAGCTGTTGGAGTGGTTAGAATCAGTGTCAGTTCCCTCTCCAAGGCTTCTAGATAGGGGGGAGAAAATAAATTTATTCATCATTTTAGAACAAAAGCTGGTTGTCTCCCTTAGCTACAGGTGGGCACTACAGTATTGGAGACCAAGATTTGAAGTCTTACATCTGAGCAGTACTTTCTGATTAGAAACAAAATCATCAATGAGAAATAATTGTCTAAATAACATTTTATATGGACTTTCTGCCTCCCAAGTGCTGGGATTAAAGGCGTGCACCACCATGCCCGGCCTAAACAACTTTTTATATAGACTTAAGCCTAATGTCAGGGAAGTGTAATCCCTTGAACTCTTAAAGGAATACACTGATGACTTAACTCTTTGGTTATACTTTCCTTTTGGGTGTTTAAGACCATACACTTGGCCCAAATAAATCAATTAATTTTTACACTTAAGGTCATTTGAGGATTTGTTCCTCAGGGATCACACGGGCTTGGGAGGAGCTCCTGGCTCCTTTCTTTTACCAGCTCCATCTATGTGAAGATAAGTCAAAGGTCCTGTTCGACCATGTCTGGATTCACTTGGAAGCATGGATGAGATGTTTCCTCTGAGTTGACCCTCCTCTTTACAGACTGGACACTGATTCAACTCCATCTTGTGGGGTCTCCATGTCCTCCCTGAACAAGATGACAGGGGACTCACCACAGTTACAGGACATTTTGAGAGATGTTCCATAGTCCCCTGGAACTTAGTTGTCCTTGGAAGGCAAGGGGCAAAAACTGTCCTTTAAG